ATGGTTGGTCACTGCCTCAGAGTTCCTTAGTCTTTTGTTTTTATAATAATTGTTGTTATTGTCTAAATTATTCTCCTGGTTCTGCTGATATCATTCTGCATCACTTTATACAAGACTTCCCAAGCTCCTCTGAAATTATCCCCTTCATCATTTCTTACAGAACAATAATATTCTATCATATTCCATATACTGTTATGTGTTTAGCCATTCTTATTTTATTGGCACACCCTTAGTTTCTAATTCTTTGCACCTTCAAACAGGACACCATCAATATTTTTGTTTTTATGAGTCCTTTTGCTGTTTCCTTGATCTCTGGAGTATAGACCTAGTAGTTATATTGCTTGATAGAAGAAAATGCAGTTTCATAGCTATTTGTACATAATTACAAATTGCTTTCCAGAATGGCTCAAGTGTTTCACTGGTCTGCCATAAGCACATTAGCGTAGCTGCTTTTGCACAGCTCTTCCATCATTTATGATTTTACTTTTTTAGTCAAATTTGCCAAACTGATAACTAGAACTTCAGAGTTGTTTTAATTTGTATTTCACTAATAATTAGTGATTTAAGAGTATTTTTTCAAGTGCCTATTGATAGCTTGGATTTATTCTGCTAAAAAGATGAATGATAACTTCCTAGCATTCAAGATGAAATGACCACAGTTGCAAAGAAACTTTGAAATACAATTAAGGGGAAACAAAAGAAACTGAAAAAGCGATCACAAGACATATTTCAAACATCTTTTGGCCATTTGTCAACTGGAGAATGTCTCTTTTTCTTATAAATTTTGATCAGTTCCCTCTCTGTTTTAGAAATGAGACCTTTGTAACAGCAAAACATCCGTAAAGCTATTAAAAAAAAAAAAAAGACATGATACCTTTGTCAGAGAAACTTGCTGCAAAGGATTTTTCCCATTTACTTGCTCTTTTTTGATTTTAGTTGCATTGATTTTGTTTGTGTATTCATAGGTCTGATTGTTAATTGTCTAATTCCTTCCCTCCTATTGTATTATACTTTTCCTTCTCTTTGGTTCTCTTCTACTCCCTTTCCCCCTAAAGTAAAAGAGGATATTGAGAGAGGAGTATACTTAGTACCAGTGTACTAGGTTTGGTGCATTCTACTTTGCCTCTTACAAGCACCCTTCTTCCCACCCCCATCCTTCTTTTCCTTCTGTTTTCCTTCTTATTTTCTGTTAAACTTTTCTTCATAATTCAGCCTCCTTAGTTAGAGTTTGTTTTATTTAGAACTAATCCTTCCCTTAATTTACCATTCTTCTTATCCCCTCCCTTTTTTTTTTCCTTCTTCTCCCTTTTTCCTCCTGTTTTCTTGTTGAGTGAAATTATTTCTGTACCCAACTCTGAGTATGTATTTCCCTCCTTTGGCCAATTAAGATGGCAATGAAGTTCAAGTGATACCCACTTCTCCCACTCCTTTCTCCATTATTCTGTAGTCTTCTACTTATTCACCCCAGTTATGAGATAGTTTTCCCTATCATTCCTCTCCCCTTTTCCCACCGAGTATTTTTCTTCATTTCTATTTTTATTCTTTTAAGATCATTAAAGCTTAAATCATACACATATCCCACTCCTACCCTGTCTGTCTTATTAGATTCCCTACATGACTCCTGATGATTGAGGTCTAAGGGTACACATGTATGGATGTTAGGATGTAATAGTTTATCCTTGTTTGAAATGTCTCTTATGATTGCTTTTATGGTTTTTCTTGTTTCCCCTTAATTGTATTTCAGAGTTTCTTTGTAATTGTGGTCATTTCATCTTGAATGCTTGGAAATTATCATTTATTAAAGGTACATGTTTGTTTTGTTTTTTTTTTCCTCCATAACATTATACTCAATTTTGTTATAAACCTTTTGCCTTGCGAAATATTTTGTTCCAAGCTCCCCCAGACTTTTATAATGGTGGCTACTAAATCTGGTGTGATCTCGATTATGGCTCCTTCATGTTTAAGTTCTTTTGTTATGGCTGCTTGCAGTATTTTTTCTTTGACATAGAAACCCTGGATTTTGGCCATAATGTTCTGGGACTTTTTATTTTGGGGTTTCTTTCAGGAGGTGTCTGGTAAATTCTTATTATTCCCACTTTTCCCTCTAATTCTAAGAGGTCTAAGCAGTTTTGAGATTTTAAAAAATAGTATGTTTAGGTTCTTTTTTTGGTCCTGACTTTGAGGTAGTCCTATGTTTTTCAAATTTTTTCTCCTCACTGTTTTCCAAGTAGTTGTTTTTTATGTAAAATTACATTTTATTTCATTTTCCCCCAGTCTTTTGACTTTGTTTTAATGTGTTTCATTGTTTCATGGATTTTTGGTTTCTATTTGGCCTATTCTAATTTTCAGGCAGTTTTACCCCTTAGAAAAGGTTTATTTCTCCTTTGCCAAGCTGTTAATTCCCTTTACAATACTTTCTAAGGGCTCATTTCTTTTCTAATTTTTCATTTAGCATTCTCAGTTCATTTATATAAACATTTTAAAACTCTTGCTTTATTTCTTCTAGAGTAATTCTAGTTGAATTTGTGCCCAACCTGTGTTCTTCTTTGAGGCTTTGTTTGTAGTTATTTTGGAGTCATCTTCTTTGAAGTTTGTGTCTTGAACGTGCCCATTACTATACTAGCACTTTAAAGTGTGGTTATTTTTCCAGTTGCTCATTCTTCCAGCCTACCTCCCATCTTTGGATTTTATGTTTGGGCTGGATACCGTATTCTTCTCGAGGTGATGTCTGATCTGAGCTTGTGCTCCCTTGGGTCCTTTTGCTGCTGTATCAGATTTACTGAATATTATGTTATTCTAAGATCTTGGAGATATCCTGGCTTGGGGACTTGCATGCTTTGAGTGATCCCAGAGTAGTCTTATCCAAGGCAAAATCAAATTCCCCTATCCTTGCTCCCACCCCAGCTGCTGCACTCAACCTAGTTTGCAAGTTCCGGACATGAATGTGGATTTTAACACTACGTCTCCTTGGGAAGCCCTGAAGGCTCAGAGTGACACAACTACAGACTCCTCATTGGTCCTCGGTTCCTGTCCTGGTTGTTCCTCCTCAGGCTTCAGACTTCACTGAAAGCTAGAGCTGAAATGCTGCTCTCTTTTTGGAGACGGAACTCCATAAATGCTTGTTTCTTCTGAATTTGTGTCCATACTAGTTAGCATGATGCCTGGCATATAATGGGCATCTAATAAATGTGGATTGATGGATTAAACTTGCTTCTTCCTCAGAACATAGCCATGGGCCTGCTTCTCACCCTGACTGGTACAAGGATAGTCCTCTAAGTTGGCCCTGGAGCATCCACTTTGGTACCTGTTTGTGCTCGTTTAACAAAATTAGGACCTTCCCTATGTGTCCAGGACCTCATGCAGAACCTCAGTCCACTTTTAGTCCCTGTGATAGAAGATGTCATTTGGAACATTTCTGTCCAGAACTTATCCCTTGGGCCCATTGACCTATCTCCTTGTGCTGACATGGGCTAGGAAAATGACTAGTGGGTTTTGTTGTTCCCGTTCCCCCCCCATTGGATTTCCTGATCAGGAATCAGCCTGGTGTGTTTTCTGATTCTTTACGAAGTGGTTGTGGGGGTGAATTCAGCTATATTCTTCCTGCTATTCTGCCCTCTTGGTTCCAACTTATTAGCTTTCCAGAGAGAGAAATTCTGACTTGGTCTGAACAGAATTGGAACCCAAGACTCTCGGGAATGAAGTCAAAACAGAAATGACTCAATTTCATGACATCCCTTACTAGATTCTCTTCTCATGAGGTTGCAGTGATAGAATTTTAACATAAGGGTGAACTGATGTAGATCTTTGAACAAGATAACATTTATAAGCAAGGGCATGCTACCCATCAATAAATTGGTAAGTGGCTTGCCTTCATTAATGCCAAAGACTCTGAGTAAAAAGACAGTTCCTTTTATATAGGTTTGGGGGAGTACAGTACAAAGAACAGAGTAAGGGTAAATGATATCTTGGGATTTAGAGCAGTGTGATTGGTTTACAAAGATGAGGTGCAAGGAACAACATGATTAGTTGGAAGTTTGGTACAGAGGGCTAACAAGAAGCTCTCTTCTTTTCTCATGAGACTAAGAAGTACTCTTTGTTTGGGGCCTTGTATGAGATAGTGGCCCAGATTTTTGGACAGCAAACCAGACATCCTTGAAGGATAGCTTGGTGGAGTGAAGTTCTCAGGCCCAAACTCCCTTGCTTTCTCACACATTCTCCAAGGTTAGCAAAATTCCTTGCAGCAGGAGAGCTAGAATTTTTTTTTTTGACCTAGCCCATTATAGGCCAGCTGAACTCTGATCTAAGTTCAGAACAAAGACCATGACTTAAACAGTTACAGGGCAAAATCAATTACTTATAAATAGGATCAGTAAGAAAATGATACAGGATCAATTTGATTTTCTCAAGGTACAAGTAATTTCCTGATAATAGGTTAGAATAATTGGCTTTTTCGAAATCCAGTTTAGTTCCAGATCATGCTTAATGAAAAGTGGTCTGGGAGAATTTGGGAGAAGGGAATTTCATGAATATTGTAAACTGGATAGTTATAGTTCTATACAATCTCTGGAGTAAAGAGTTATGCTTTAATATCATGATTATATTGGAAGGGTTCATTTGACAGGGATGCTAAAATGATTGATTTGCATTAGCCACAGTTTCCTATTGGTAATGGAGTTAATTCAACGCATTTGTTAAATGAACATTTTTTGAAGTTCTTATTCGATATTGTCTTCATGCTGGAGGAGATACACAAATCAAAATATCTAAGTCCCAGCCAGAGTCCTTGCCCTTGCTTCCTCTCAGTTCATCAGTTTCTTGGCATTGTGGTTATTCAGCACCTGGTTTTTGGTCTTACTGCTAGTCTGGATCAGCAGCAGAACTTGAAGCCAGCTCCTTATCAGCTGTATCATGTGGCCTCTTGAGAATGTATTGGATTATAACATTATTCTATTATTAGCTTACTAAAAAGTGAGTTTTGTCCTCGGTGTTTTCTCTCTTAGCATGTTCCTGATATAAGTCACTGGATGTGAGCTGAGAGTTCTGAGAAGAGAGAGGAAATGTAACCTCCTTGACTGTATACATATAATTTTACAGGTATGTCTTTATTGAATGCACTCATAATTTATGGAATTTCATAATATCAAAATTCTGAAGACACTCTCTCTTCTGATGACACAGTTTTCCTTGCCTACCTTCCCAGCAGTTAAACTTTAACTCATACTCCAGTGACTGGATGTGGGCAATCAAGTAATCTTTCTTCCCCATTGTCATTTCCAGACTGTCACACTAAGATTATCACTCATTCACTTCTCCTCCTTTGAGGTTCAATCAATCCATAGTTACCACAAATTAATATTCTGGTACTTATTAATCTGCTGATCTTCAGGATACTCTCCTTCCTTCTTCAATGATTTGAGTATCTGGCTAACATTTTTTCTTTGTGCTCAAATTCTTACCTTCCTGCTAGAGGATTTGAACATATATATTGATATTCTCTTCAACAACTTACCTTCCCAGTTCCTCAGTGTACTCATTTCCTATGATCTAGTCTTCTACCTTACGTCAGCTACACACAGAAGTGATCATATCTTTGATTTTGCCATCACCCGCAAAGTGTTCCACTTCCATGTTCATCATGGAACTCTGAAATGCCTTTATCTGATTATGATCAGTTGTGATTAAACTTGTCCTTATGCCTATAACCTCCTACCTCGTTCTTTGTCCTCACTGTGACCTCCAGTCTGTCTACCCCTCAGTTCTCTCCCAGACTGTCACTCTTGCACTGATGTGCACTCTTCCTTTCCCCATTTCCACCCTTTAGTGAACCAGTTCTGCTCTACACTGTCCTCTGGAGAGTTCCTTGCCTCCTTATCCAATTGCTGATTTTGCTTTGAATCTCTCTCATCATCCTCTGCTTTCACTCCTACTCATATGATGCTGAACAAAACTAGAGAAAATTGTAAAGCCTTGCTCACTGGATCCTCTACAAATTTATGTTACATGATGCCAACTTGGGCCTTCAGAAGTAAAAGTCAATCCTTTTAGTTGATTCATTATGTTGATAACTCACCCTAATGACTTCTGCAAACCTTTTTATGATGTGAGATGTCTCATTCTGTTCTCATATCAAACCTAAACTACCAATGGACTTGCCTGAGTCAGACTCACGCCAGAAGAGCATGTATAGACACTCATGCTTAAAATAATTTTATTCTTAAAGGATGACAGCTGATCTCATATAATTTGCACCCTTATTCATAAATTCTGAAATTTCTTATCTGATCACAATCTGTTGTCACATTCCATCTCTTCCTTCTGCCTTGCAACTCCAAAATCTGTTTTTCATTGTCACTGTGACTTCCAGTCCTTCTGCACCCTTGATTCTTTCCTAAGCCATCACCCCTGTACTGGCTGTACTCTCCTCCCTTGATCATCTTCCCCCTTGGCATACCATTTCAACTCTACACTATACTTTTGTGTCTGTTGCCTCCTTATCACATCAAAGATCTTGCCTTACCAAGCCTCAGACCTGGATTGCTCTCTTACCACCTACTTGCCTTTCCTTCTACTCACACTGCTGAATGAAACTGGAGAAACTGAGCACACTGGGTCCACAGCAAATTTATTTTACAAAACCTCAACTGGGCTTTCACTGCAGTGAGGCAAAATCCCTTCACACATCATTAATTGACTCACTCATCCCATTCACATAGTGGCTTTCTCAAACCTTTTCATCTCTCTTAAATCTCCCATGACTCCCTTGCCCACCTTGCCTCATAACTTCACTGAAAAAAATTGAAGCCATTCACTAAGAGCTCCCTTTTCTCTTCTGATCCTCATCTCACATAACGGATGCCTTTTCTTCCAAATTTTCTCCTTTATCCTGTTTTACATGAAAAGGTGGCTCCTTTTCAAAGCAAACCCCTCTGCATTCACAAGTGATCCCATTCTATTCAGTCTTCTTTAGTAGATTGCCCCCTTTATCATCCCTCATTTGTCTTCAATCTCTCCCTGTCTTGTTCCCTACTGCCTACAAACATGCCCATGTCTCCTTCATCTTCAGAAACCTCTCACTTGATCTGTCCATCCCAGCTAGCTGTGGTCCCATATCTCTTCTCCCTTTTGTGGCTAAATTCCTTGAGAAGACAATCTATAATCAATGCCTCCCCTTCTTTCTTAATTAACACTCTCCTTTTTCTCCCTCCCACCCCCCCCCTCCCATCTTCCTAAGGAGAAGGTCTGGTTATGTCTCCCACCTATTCATTCAACTCAGATCAAATATAAAACCTCTCCTCCCCTTCTTGTCTTCTTATACCCCCATGATACTCTGATCCAATGATACCAACCTCCTTGCTATCACATAGGATACTCCATCTCCATACCCTAGGTATTTCTCTGGCTGTTCTCCATGCCTGGAATACTCTCCCTCCTCATCTCTGCCTCCTTGCTTCCCTGGCTTCCTTAAGTCCCAGCTAAAATCCTGTCTTCTGTGAGAAGTCCTTTCTGATACTGATGCTTTTTATTGTTAGTTCTTTACCTCCACTGATTGTCTTCACTTTATGTTGTGTGTGTATGTGCATGTGTGCATGTGTGTGTATGTGTGTGTGTATATTTGCACATAGTTGTTTACATGTTGAGTACCCCATTAGATTGTCATTTCTTTGAGAGGAGGGACTGTCTTTTGATTTTCTTTGTATTCCCCAGTACTTAGTAGAGTGCCTGACATATAGTAGATGCTTAATAAATGCTTATTGACAGACTTACCAAATTTAGATATTTTGAATCCGTGTCTATGATTTGTATGCATTGCACAGTATTTGCAGGGAGACTAGCACTTGCAAGTAACAACAGTATTAGAAAAGAGGCAAATATGGCGATTCTTCACTTATATGCAAAATTATAAGAGTTAATTCAATTAAAGAAACACTTATTACATATCTAATGTGGGCACTGGTGATTTAAACATAAAAGTATGAAACAGCCCTTGCTGTCAGGGAGCTTACATTCTTATCATGGTAACAACACGTACATAGGTAATTTAAGACAATTTCAAGAGAGAAACTAATTTGCCATTTCTAGAGAGAAACTAATAAATGTGATTTAATGGGAGTGAATTCTAAGGTAAATCATGAAAGTTTTAGAGCTCTGGCCACCTCTACGTCTCAATGTGATACCAGTACGAGTCACATTTCTGACATTTTCTGCTTCATTTTGCTTTTTGTCTACTTTTGAACATTAGTATTGTTTTGTTTTTCATTACAATTTCTTTTATACCTTGCTTAGGTGAGATTTGTTGTATTCTTTGGTGTAATTTTTCTGTCAGTTTAAGAAGTGTTTAGAAATCTGAGTTAGAAAAATTCTCAAAATTTTTTCTTTCCTTGAAATTCCCCAGGGAGAGGAAACCTGCCTAGTTCCTGAGGCATCCTATTGCACTTTACTATACTCTCATTCTTTGGAATTTAAAATTTGGATATTTTAGATTTAAAATGGTTTCTTTGCAACCTCTATCTGTTTTTGTTCTTTTCTCTAGGAATAAACCGAGTAGGTCTTCCTATTCCATATGACATTCCTTCAAGTACTTGTATTTGAAACTCCTTTTAATCCCCTTCTGTTGATGCCCTTTTCCCTCCAAACTAAGCATCCCTAATTTTGTTATCCAGTTCTCATTTTTTAAATTTTAAATGTTTCATATTACTTTCCTGGTTTTCCTCTTTGAATTATTTCCAGTTAGCTAAGGCCTTCTAAAAATGTTGTCCAACCTAAAAAAAACTAGATGGTCTTTCTGAATGCTCTCTATTCCATGGTCCAGTATATTTCACAGAGCCTAAAGTTGCATTTGCTTTCTCAGTTACCCTGTTAATTTATAATGAACTTATTATAGTTCACGTTTTCTAACAACACCTTTCTTCTGTTATACTTGAGAAGTTGATTTTTTTTTCAATCTATGTGCAAGATTTTAGTTACAGTTCTATTAGATTTCATTATCCTAGTTTAATACCATATTCTCCATAGGTTTTCACAGTGGGTGATACTGCCTGCTGGGGGGTGCAGCAATAGTAGCCTTGGGTACAGTTGGGGGGCATTGAATAAAAGTAAGGAGGCAGTGGAAGCAAAGAAGAAAAGATAAGAAAATTTTGAAAAACCATTCCTACGTGTTTCATCTGTTGTGTTAAAGTTGTAGTGGTTATATTATTTTTCAAATAAACATACAAAATGCAAGTTATAACCGATCAGTGATCAAGTCCGCTGAGGGATGTTAACAAGTAAGTGTTGGTTGATGAGAGTGTCACGCATTGTCTGGAAGTCCAGCATGCATTGGGAAGAATACGTGAATGTAATGTTTACAGTATGATACTATATGGTTACATGATGCAGTTTTGCAGTATTGCATCATCAAAATTTCAATGCAGGAAAAAAAACCACAAATTTACAGTAGGTTATTAAAGCAGCATCATTTAAAAATGTATTATTTTGAAATGATGCAAATTTTTAAAAAACCATTAAAGAGTTAAAGAAAAGGGGGTGGTAGGCCAAATAAGTTTGGGAAGCTCTTTTCTAGACTGTCAAAATCTTTTTGAATTCTGATTGTTTTCCAGTGTATTAGCTGTCCTTTATAACTTTCTTCTGTGAATTTTTGAAGCCATCTCATCATTGACAAATTTTTTGAGTTATTTTTATTGATTTCATTAAATAAATTTATTTTATTTGTATCATTAAATACCTCCCAATTACATGTAAAAATGATTTAACTTGCCTTGAGAAGGCAAGCAATTTTCATAAATTTGGTTCAGTTCCGTATGTATTTGATAAGTGAGGCCTTTTTCAAAGAAACTTGGTATGAAATTTTTCCCAGTTTCCTTCTTTCCTTCAAATTTTGACTGTATTTCTTTTATTTGTGCAGAAGCTTTTCAGTTTCATGTAACCAAAATTATCTATTTTTCTTCCTGTAATACCTTTTCTTTCTGTTTGGTAATAAACTCTTCCCTTATCCATAGATTTGATAGGTACATTTTTCTGTGCTCCCCTAAATTAGTTATGATATCATGCTTTATGTCTAAATCATTTATCCGTTTTGACCTTATCTTGGTATATAGTGTGATATTGGTCTGTGACTAGTATCTGCCAGACTGCAGTTGTCTCAGCAATTTTTATCAAAAGTTAAGTTCTTACCCCAAAAGTTTTAATTTTTAGAGCTAGATTACTATGATCATTTACTACTGTGTTGTGTACCTAATCTATTCCACTGATCTACCACTCTGTTTCTTAGCCAGTAACAAAATGTATTGATGATTCTTGCTTTATTATTGAAATCTGAAACTGCTAGGCCGCCTTCCTTAACATTTTTTATAGATTCTCTTTATATTCTTGACCTTTTGTTCTTCTGGATGAATTTTGTTACTATTTTTTCTAGGTCTATAAAATAATTCTTTGGTAGTTTGGTTGGTATGGCACAAAATAATTAAATTAGATAGAATTGTCATTTTTATTATATTGGCTCAGTTTAGCCATGAGCAATTAATATTTTTCCAATTGCTTACCTCTGTTTTTATTTCTGAGAAAGGTTTTTTGTAATTGTGTTCATATCATCCCTTGTCGGGTAGACTCCCAAGTCTTTTATATTATCTGCAGTTATTTTAAATAGAATTTTTCTTTCTGTCTCTTGCTCCTGGGCTTTTGTTGGTAGTATATGGAAATGTTAATGTTTTATGTAGGTTTATTTTATATCCTAAAACTTTTTCTGAAGTTGCTGATTGTTGCAGCTAGCTTTTTAGTTGATTCTTTAGGGTTCTCTAAGTATGCCATCATGTCTTCTGCAAAGAGTGATAGTTTTGTCTCCTCATTGCCTATTTTTATTTCTTCAATTTCTTCTTCTTGTCTTATTGCCAACTAGCATTTCTTGTACCCAATTTTTCATTTTAATCTACAAGAATAGTTTCAGATATTTTATTATGTGCTTTGTTAAAATCTTAACTATATCTATAGCATTTCCTTGATAGAGCAACTCTATGAAAAAAAATGAGAAAAGTTTATAGAAATTTGTGGATCATAATTTTTCTTACTATCTATGTCTTTCATTACGCAATAGTTACCAAAGCCTTTTCAGAGAGCTTTTTCCTGCACCTGCCTTTGTATCCAGTAAGATTCATTCCAGGCCTCCCTGTTACCTTTTCCTCTTTCTTCCTAAATCTGTCTGCTTGTCCTTTTGAACTCTTTTTAATGTACTTAAATTTTAATATTTTTAATCATTTAGACTTTCCCCCACATTCAGTATATCTTTGCCTTGCTCATTCCTAATAATTCAGAAGCTGGTGATAATCAATACTTAATTATACCTTCTATCTATATATCTGTATCTATATCTATTCTTGACTTTTGAAGAGTTTATTTAAAAACACTTTCTACCTTTTCTCCAGTACAGGCTGTTTCAGGGTGGAACAAGAGAACAAGGTGCTCTAAAGCATCTATGATATTAAAAGTAGACAAAAAGACTATTTGTAATGCAAGAATAACTGAGAGTCTTTTATCCCAAAGCTAGTCTTTGGCAAGGTCAGTTTGTCAATGCAGTAAGTGGCCAGCATCTCTAAGCACATTGTACTTTCTGAAATTCCATTAGATGTTTATATGAATGAATAAAAGGCAGGTATCTCTCAGTTAATGGACAAGCAATCATTTCTACTGTAGTATAAATTATTTTAGTATTTGATTTCTCCTAATATATAGCTAAGTACAGCTTCTGTGGAAGGACCTTTGGGGGATAAGAAGAAGTAAGAATGGGAATCTTGTGCTGGGGGTGGGGATAGGTAGAGAGAGAGAAAGAGAAGGAAGTAGAGAAAAAATGTTGATTTGGGAGCCCAATCCTACCTGCCCAATGCCCAGCTGCCCAGGGAGCAGTTTTTTCAGTTCAATATGAGGCAAGGCTCTCAAGTCGACTGTGTGGTGGGTTGGGGAATCATGTGAAATTTGAGGAGGGATGAGAAGGTTTAGAAAAGCTTCTCTGTGATGAGTGAGATCATGCCTCAATTAGGGAGGTATAAAAGGATTGCCTTGAAGCAGTAAGTTCATAACATGTAGCACAGATTTATAGTGGACACATACACTATATTTTCATGATTCTCTGGCTTTACTCAGTAGCATGTGAGTCGAAGTGAATATCCTAGACAGTGGGAGTGATGCAAGCTGAGACTTTTCAGGCATAATTGGTGAGATGACCACAGAGCAAGGGACTGGGAAAGAGGACAATGGACAGTTGAATCGGTTCACCAGAGGGTAAAGTTGGGGACAGTAGGCAAATGCAGCTAGCGCAAGGATGATGGCTTGAGAAATCATAGAGGAGTCAAGAGATTAGAGATCATGGTGTGGCCAAAGAGCAGGTGTTAACTGGTATTAGAATAATTGGTATTAGAAGGCAGAGGGTTGGATCTCACCAATCAGTTAGGGGCAGCTGGTGCTGCCATAGTTCATAGAGTGCTGGGCCTGAAGTCAGGGAGACTCATCTTCCTGAGTTCAAATAAGGCATCTTATACTCCTAGCTGTGTGACCTAGAGGCAAGTCACTTAACCCTGTTTTCCTTACATCCTCATTTGTAAAATTATCTCCAGTATCTTTGCCTAGAGTACCCCAAATGGAGTCACAGAGAGTCAGACATGATTCAAATGACTAAACAACAAAGGAATTTCAGAGTTTGTGAATGTTGGAGGTGGTACGTTTATGGTGTTGGCTATCTTGTGCATTTAAGTATATACATGTAAGTACAACAAATACTTGCATAGGTATTTACAGAATAAAACTAAAGAGAATAAACACAAATAGTTTTGGAGAGAGGTCACTACTAGCATCTAAAATTCTTAGGTATGTGCTTTATCTGATATTTTAGTTGGGTGCTCTTTCTGAATATATACAGACTTTTCCAGGTATTTTCCTTTTCCTTATATATAAAAAAAATGGACCATTTAAATAAAACTGAAGCAACTTTAGAGACTATGAACTTTTTTTTTTAATCTTATGTACCACATTCATTTCTTAATGTCTCTCTTCCTTTCCTACCCAGTAATCTTCCCTTTGGAAAAGCAAAAATAATTTCAGCAAAAGTTACCAACACATCAACAGTTTATGTCAATATACACACTATTCCAAGTCTGTAGTGCCCTACCGGTTCAGTTAAGGGAGGGAATTGCATTTTCTCTGCATGGTCTTGTAATTGTGCAGTGTTCAACATTTTATTTCTTTTCTTCTTTCCATTTTTAGTCATTGTGAATATTGTTTTCTTGTGTCTTTTTACTTTTTAGTTTGTATCAGTTTAAAGAAATAACTTTGAAATAACATAGAGCAGAGACGCAGGAGACTGATGTTTGAGGAGATAACCCCTGGATAACCTCCTTTTCTTTCTCTGCCCTCTTGATCACGAAGAGATAATTCTCAGGTTAATTGTCTATTCGTAGACATCTCACAGGCCACTAGGGAACAGAGCTTACGGTCCCTCAGAATTTTGTGTGACCCTTACCAAGAAATTAGGTATAAGGCTAGACCTTCCTTGCTCTAGTAATTGGTTTGGTGAACGGATTATTCTTTTTAATTTACATCTTATTATATAACTCAAAATTAAGTGTTCTCCATTAACTATCAAATAAATTTCAATCCTTTTATAATTTGACTTGAATTTCCCTTTGTAGACCCTCATTATCGCCTTTTACATATTTTTATTCCAATTGAATCAGACAATATCATTGTTGCATACACAAGGAAAGCTCCTTGCTTTCCTGTTTTCATTCCTTCTCTAAAGTCATTCTCTTCTTTTGGAATGCCTTCCTTTTATTTCTTCTTTCATAAATCTTAGGCATCCTGTTCGATCCAACTTAAATGTCATCTCAGTGAATGCTTAAAAAATACTTCTTCTGATCTCTCACTACCCTCTTCCCCATCTCCAAATGATCTTTCTAACTTTGGAACTCTCTTAGCACTTCAGTGTTATGTGCCTGTGTTCATTTTATTTTGTTTCTTATTTTGGTTTTGTTTCATTTTCTTTTGTTTATTATTGATGCTATTTGTTTGGTTCTTAATTCTTTATTTGTCAAATCTCTCCTTTTAGAGAATAATCTCCAACATTTCAAGGACCTCATAGGGAACTTCCACTAATGGAAGAACCTGTCAAGCATATTATCTGTAAGTTTCATGCAATGAGAGTTGCCCTAGGCTCAGAGTGGTTAAATGACTTGCTCATTGATTTAAATATGTCATCTCATTTGATTAGTAAGTCTCAGAGGTGAAATTTGAACTCAGGTTTTCCTTTTCTATCTATTTTGTACTTATTCCCTCTATCCTATATATGTTTGTGTTGCCTCCTCTGAAGAGACTGTGAACTTGAGGATAAGGAATGTTGAACTTTTATTTTTGTTTCCTTAGTACCTAGGACAGTGCCCAGCCCTTAAGTATTAGGTGGGCACTTAATAATTGCATGTCAATTGATTCTTGAATCTAGTCTAGTTACTTGTGCTATGCTGCCTTTTTTTGGCAAATGGACATGTGTGTGTATTTCCTTCAGTTCAAAGGTGTTGCTTAATATGGGAATGTTACTGAATAAATAATAGTTGACTTCAATTCAACTGGTCGTTTGATAGATATATTGTAATAGAAAATAACTTGAAATTTGGCATTTTTTGAAGTGTTTTATAACTGACTGATTGTACTATTACATTTAAAGAAAAATACTCTTATTAATTAAAATAAACTGTTTTGTATTCAAATCTAATATGTGTAGGTTCAAAGTTTTCAGGTTCATGAAAATACAGTCTTAGAAACAGATATTGTTCTCAAATATTGTATTTTACTTCATTTGCATAAATCTTGAGAGCATTTACATTATCAATTTGCTATTCAGGATTGTCTGGTTAGGATAATGTATTGCATGTTATATTTTTGGATGTTTATAACATAACATGTATCAACATTCATTTTAGTTTATTTTATAAATAAGAAATATTTTAAAAAATTATATCTGCTACAGGCCAGGAATCATGCTTTACCAAAGATTTAACTCATTTTTAATAATTAAAAATAAAATATTTTGAAAGAGAATTACTAGTTTTTCGCTGAGGTATTTGTATAAATCTTGTTACTTCTTGAAAATTAGTCACGACTGCTTTTGGCATATTTTTATGAATTTTTTTTAAAAAGCTACTAATTTTTAGTAAGACATCTATAGATCTTTGAAAATGTGTTTGTGGGTATTTAGGGTTTTTTTTGTTTGTTTTTTTTTTTTTTTTTGCTTACATTTCTCCTAATCTGTGTTTTTAATCAGAATTTAGTTTTCATCTATCCTGAACACTCCCCAGGAGTACACAACTTCAAAAAAGAGGCAAAGTCAGCTGAAAAAAGAGGTGGTCTGAGTATTTATGCATTAAATATGCATGTTAATTAGAAAAAAATGAGAAAAAATATGAAAACAGATGTTACATAAATTATTGCAGTCCCAGGACAGCAGTAACTTATACACTGACAATAATTTTTATATGTGCATGTGTATGTCTATTTCTAGATTTCTCAACATTTATTTAATTCCTCAGGGGATAACTAGAAAAAGAACTTATATATCTCTTCAATGAGAATATGTTAAACATCTTTCTGCATATGTATTACTGAAGTAGAATGGTTGTTTGTTATACTGCTATCCATACTGCCTTTCATGCTTCCTTTTATTTTGCCCTCGTTTCCTTATTTCTATCCCTGTGCCAACTATGTTAGATCTTTTGTTGTGGTAGCATTTTGTTTCTTACATCAGTTCTTTGGTGATACATAATTAATGATTTCAGTGGTAAGAAAAATCTGAAAGTGGGATGGATTTTGCAGTGGATGTTTGGAAGCATAGTATCTGACCTACAACTACAAGAATGAGCATACTTAATGTCATTTATTTCGTTCTTTCTTTTTCTGTAGGTGGATATTATACTTCCTAAAGAAATGTTTTAGTTTTGCTTGGTGATTGGTACATACAAAAACTAGTCACGCTTTGATGGCCCAGTGACTTCCTCAGTATTTTTAACTTCTTACATAGGTGAAGACCACAGTGCCTCTATGTTTGTTCATCCTATACAGTTCTATTCCTTTACTTTCCCTATAACCTCCAGGAAGCATCCACTTAGTGTGTTGCAAGCCTTCCTTGGCTTTTGTTAATACCTTTGTGGAATTAGTTTATGGTTTTCGTTCTTGGTACATGATTATTTTACTACCTTTTGTGGTCATAGGTCATATGTCCTTTTGTCATATCACAATATTGCTTTTCTAAATCCTACCTTGGATTATTCCCACCATTCACCTCTATTTGTCTTCTTCACTGGATGAAATGGGAGGAAATTGTGAAAATATGCTTATTGGGCCATTATAAATTTATGCTAATTTATTAGCTGATTTCATTTGTGCCTTGTGGCCTTAGTGCCACAAGAGATTCCTACTACTCCTTTCTAATTGATTTCCCATCCATTTCACCTTAGAAGTTTGTCCAGACCTTTGCTTATCATGTCTCCCACAATTCCTTTTCCCTTTTCCCCTTAGTGGAGGATTTTACTTCAAACTTAAAAACTTAATCTTCATTCTGACATTATCTTCTACCATCTTCTTTACTGCAGTCTCTGATAGTAGGTGGCCCTTATGCTTATCCAAGTCACCTTTGATCACAGACCTTTCCAATTTTTTTAGCATATTGCCCCTGCCACCATCCCTTCTGCCTGTAATCTTCAATACCTTCTAATCTATGGGTTCCTTTCCTGATGCCTGCAAAGCTGCTCAGGTCTCTCTCCTTCTTAAAAAAATCCTCACTGGATTGTGCAGATAGCATTCTATATCTCTTCTCTTTTTTGTGAATGATCTCTTTGACAAAGCCATCTAGTTTTGGTTCTTCTATTACTTCACTGTTCCCTTCTTCTAAACCTTCTTCAGTCTGACCCCTGACATCATACAATTGAAACTGCTCTCTATAAAGTTACCAATATTTTCTCAGTTGCCAAAGTTAATGGCAGCTTTTTCCCAGGCCTCATCTTTTACTTTTCTGTATCATTTGATACATCATTTGATGTCACTTGATCATCTCCACAGAATGATCTTTGCTCTCTTTTGGTCCTCCTCTTTCCTCTTTGACCATTTCTTTTCAATTTCCATTTTTGTCTCTTATTCCACATCATTATCACTACACTTGAGCCTTTTCTCTAGATTATTTTCTATTTTAACTATATATTCCTAGTTGGTGACCTCATCAGCTCCCAAGAGGTCAATTATCATTCCTCTCTTGACCTCCAGTTTAGCATCACCGACTGCCTGTTGGACATTCTGAACTGGATGTCTCATAAGCATCAAAAGTTCATCTTATCCAAAACTGACCTCATTTTTCGTCACTCCTTCTTCTAAACATCCTTATTACTATCAAAGACACCACCATTCTTTTGGCCATTCCGGGAATTGTGAGAGCAGAATTTATGACCTGCACAACAGAAATAATTGGCACAGTAGTAAAATTTGAATCTATGTTAGCAAGCCTCCCCAAAGAAACAAAAGAGAGGATGACAGGATGGGAATGAAAATACAAGAAGTGAAGGATAATCTAGAATAAGAAAAATAAAAGTAAAATTAAAAGAAAACATACTCTCTATTCAAGCAAATCATATTAATGTCAAAGGTCTGATGAATAAAGACATCCAAAGGATTATAGGACTCCTTGAAAAATAAGTTTAAAAAAAAAAAACCACCCAAAGCCTGAGCATTATAATGCAGGACATGATAAAAGAAAACTACCCAGAATTTCTGAAGACAGAAAATGAAATACTAATTGAAAGAATCCACAGATTATCTCTAGGATGAGAGGAGAGGCCAACAAACCCCTAGACACATAGTGGTTACATTTCACAGTACAGTTCAGAAACAACAAATTCTGCAGGAGACCAGGAGAGAGACCTACAAATACAAGGGAAAGGAAATTATCATAACAGAAGACTCTTCTAGAACCACCAGAAAATGTAGAAAGGAATGAAATAATATGTCCTGAAGAGCAGTGGAGCTCAGGGGCAGCCCAGGGTGACCTACTCTGTAAATATCAGCTTAACCATAAATGAAAAAAAGATAGACATCAAGTAATAAAGAAGCATTTGAAATGTTCTTAGAAAGAAGACCAGACTTCAGATTATTTGCTTCTTGAACACCACAAACAACAGAAATGTAGGAGGTGTGAATGAATGCAACAGCCAAGGGAAGCAGTCAATCAATAAACATTTATTAAGTACCTGATATATGCTCAGTACTGGGCTGCAGCCTCAGAGTGACAGGAGAGATCAATAAGAGCTTTTTTTCTAAATACCCACTAGGCCACGGATGTGAAGCTGGTGGTACTGGCCTGGGACATTACAGGCAGAACCTCTTTACAACCACCAAAAAGTGAATGCATGTTTTTCAAGGGACTAAATTATAAAGCAGGAGGGTGCATGGAAGGGAGGAGGGAGGTATGTGATGTGCCCTGGTCAAGTTAAAGGCCAACAGTGACAGAAAGATAAATACTGTGGTGTCTCAGGAAAAGGATGAGGGGTCAGGGTAGAATTGAACAGGAAGGAGAGGAGGAAAGGGAAGCTTTATTTTGGTGATGCCGAGTGGGGGGCAATGATGAATACTCCTATGAATAAAGACAGATGTTTTGTGAAGGGAGATGGGGACCTTGCAGCAGCTGTTGTCTGTGGGAATTTGGTCCAGTAGCAAGTCCATTTGGTCCTAGAACAAGTCCAAAAGACTTGTCCAGCTTCAAGAGTGTGGGTGTTGGGGGTGGGAGAAGGAAAATAAAGTTGCTGGTGCCTGAGAAAGTAAGAAGATGTGGACCCAGGGAAGAGAATTTGAGGCAGGTAAGAAAGGAAGATGACTAAGGTCACTGATGGACTGAATAATAGAGAGTGTTGAGGGGGTCCTGCCACAGGGCAGTTAACTCTTTGGCACCTGCAAAAATTGACTTTGGGGGCAAGGTCTGCAAGGCAGTGGTAGAAACTGCTTAGGGACTAGAATGGAGACCTCAGAAGTGTTGATTTCATCAGGAATGCAGAGGATAGAGAAGGACTAGATGATTCAAGGGGCCATGAACCAGAGAATAATGTGGTAGAGCAGACTGAAGCAGAGGATGGATAATGAA